CTTTGCGCTGCTACTAGTACGCAGGGATGACCACGGATCACAGGCCCAGTGTAGCGCTATGGGATTACCCAGGAACGACGCGCGTTGCAAGTCCAACGCTCGAGACGCAATAAAAATCATTTTCTGGACTTTTTCCATTGGCCACACGAATCGCATTTATAGCCAATCCCGTGCGATCGCAACAACCGCGCCACCGAGGGGGCAGCTCGGTCGCCAAGTAGCGGCAGAACACGAAAGCGCTCTTACTGCGTACAGCGAGAGCCGAGGTTGCGACGAGCTCAACATGCTACGTCCTGTCGCGATTGGAGGTGTACCGCAACTGCGACGGCTTGGACGTCGACAGTGTGTGGATAACTCTTGCACGGGATTGGCCAAAATATCCCACGCCGTATCCGAACGGTGCTTTGTATCCGGATCGTCTGGGCCCGTTGCAGTGTCATTTGCGATCTTGCCGTCGAGCATGCAACCCGGGGTGATGTCCCGTGCCGAGCTGGTGGCGGCCGCCTCTGCCCATCGCCAGCGACAGACCATGTTCCATCTTCCAACGACGGCGACGATGGGCGATGCGCTCGCCTTTGACGCGATGTCGGCGGCCGACAAGGCGGTCGTCGACGAGCTGCTTGCGTGCGGCTGCTTGGACGTGGCGCTGGTCCGCGTGGCGTCGCCGACGCATGTGGTGCACGGCGACCGCGAGAAGCCGCTTGAGGTAGACCTCGACCATCGGCCCTGCGACCTCGACTACTTGTACGACGACGACGAGTTGTATGGCGTAGCACCAACTTCAACCCACGAGTGTACTATCGAGGTGGTCTGCGACGGCGTCTACGAGGCGAGTACGCAGAGCAACCGCATTATCGGCGTCGCTGCGTTTGCGACCTGCCATGTGCCACTGGCCGTCACGTCGGCGCTTATCGACAAGCCGCTCGGCAAGGCCATGGACCTCGCCACGTACACGGTGCGCCCAACGAGCTCGCCGACCACCATCTGCATTGCGTTTTGGCCGCGCATCCACCGTGCGCGCCTCGTCGGGTTCCGCCGGTCGCTTCAGGTGCTTGAAGCCGCGATGCGCTCGACGTCTCGTTGCGGTCGGAAGGGCGATGCATCGATCGCCGCACTGGCGACCGCAATCAACGGCATGTTTGGCGACGGTATGGACGACGTCATTGCTCTCCACGGCGGCTACGACGTGCCCGACCCAATTTCTTTTGGCAACACGCTCCTCGCCCTCGGCGACGTCGACCTGCTTCTCACCTTTCTCCAAGACGGGCTTTCCTTCGATTCGCGCACGCTGGACAGTACAACGGCCTGGCTGCGCCTCGTGCTCGAGCAAGTCGGCGCTGCGACGGTGCACCCAGCGCTGCTGCGGCTCGTGACCGCACGATGCACCAACGTCCAGTCGCTTCATGTGGCGTCTGCGCTGCTCGTATCGATGTTGTGTCTTGCCGGGCGAAATGGCGATCTCAAGGCGGTCATTCAGGACTGCTACAGCGCCATCCTCACGGCGCTTTCGCGGGGCGTCGACGGGGCAGAGCCTGATGCCGAGGCCGCGACGCAGCTTGTTGTGCATCTGCTGCGTCTGGAAGCATGGCGATATGACGCGTTTGGCATTGACGCGTGCGCCAACCTCCTCGCGCTGCTCAAGTCCAAGCACCTGCGTCGACGACTGTGCACGCTGGACGTGGTCGCCAAGGCGGTGTGGCGCGTGCGCACCGACGTCTCGCCGACGCATCTCGCGCCGTTTGTCGCCCATGTCCAGAGCAGTTTGTGGGCAGCGGTATGCAGCGATCATGACGGGTATGGTGCATCGCTGGCCGTGCTCCAGGTCTTTGGCGCGTCGACCAAGCTCCTCAAGAAGGCTGTTGCGCACGTGCTTGACCGCTCGTCTCTCGAGTTTGGCATGGCCGCGCTGCACTCGTACACGTCGCGCGTCGACGTGCCAACGGTGGTTTCCACGAGCATCGACGCGCTTGTCGACGCTCGGTGGTCGTCCACGTCGAGCGACGGCGTGGCATGTACTACAAGTAGTACTCTACCGTTCGCTGCCCGCCACAACTACCTCTTGCACAGTCTTGGCAAAGGGCTGTCGGTGCCGGCATCGAATGCGTCGGACGCTGCAAAGCGCGCTTTTGCGATGGAGCTAATCGCGCCGTGGCATGCGATGGTAGCCGCCACGATGCCAGCAGCCGCGCGCATGCGACTGCGGCCGGCGCTCGAGGTCGCGTGGACGACGGTGCTGCGCGAGGCGACGCCGACGATGCACCTGTGGCAGCCACTGCACCTGGCGCTGCCGTGCCACTGTGCGCAGTGCCGCAAGGTGACGGTGTTCCTTGCCGAAGAGACACGCGGCTTTTTGTACGTTGCTGAGAAGGCCATGTGTCTGCACTTGGCGTCCGTGCTGCAGCGACCCGAGCCGCTTTTGGGAGCGGTGACCGTCGTCTCTCGCCCAAGCGACCGCACGACGATGCTCTTCAAGCAAGATGGCCAAGCGGTGCGAGATGAAGAGGACGTGCTGCGTGCCATGGCGCAGATCCGCGCAACGCTGGCGATGGACGAGCCCGCGTCCGAACCCGAACCCTAGCCTCGCCCTAGCCCCAGGTGGTATATCATGCAGAACGCGTTGTGTGAAGGACATGTGTCAGGCTTTGATGACCGATCGATAGACAAGTTGTGCTATCTGCAAGTAGTCGGATGCTCTCGCTGCGTTTGAATAGACTGACTATCGATGGACTGTCTCGCCAAGTGGCTTTGACGCACTGCTAGTTGTCCAATCAAATCAGGCTAGGAGCAGGGCTATGGCTAGGGTTTGGGTCGCCAACGCCGTCACCGATGCTATGCCAACGATGGCCGTAGAGCACTTGCAGACGCAGCTCGGCCGTGACGCGTCGAGTGCGTCGCCGGGCGTCACTGTGGACCGCCTCCAGCTCGTCGCCCAAACGTTCAACCTTCTGCATGGGCTTGGCGTCGAGGCGGCGCTGCCAGCGCTCGCGACCACGGCCATCGAGTCCCTCGCGCGCATCCCGGCGACGTACTTGAGCGATGTCGTGGCGAATGTGCTCTTGCCGTGGCATGCAAAGGTCGTGGCGGTCGAGCTGCCGTCGGCGCGCCACTTGTTGCAGCCGCTCTTGGCGCGGGCCGCCCCATGTGCTGCGGCGATGGCGGCTGCCGACGCGGTCCCGCGCGTCTGGCCCGTGCTACACGAGACGCTGGACGTCGACTGCGCCGTCTGTCGACGCGTCCGGCGCCGTTATCGTGCTGGCCAAGCCGCAGCCGGATCTCGGGTTCTTCCACTGCGATGCTGTCCGGGCCAACGGCCTCTTGCGGGCGACGCTGTCCATCGTCGCCGCCTAGTTGTCATTATGTCTTGTTTTGGTGCGTGTCACAAAGAATAATGACAATATTGTGCTGCATTGTGGGACGTTTACATATTGCGTGGCGTGGGGACCGAAGTCGCGTCTGGTGCTGCCACGTTTCTCACATTTCCCACGGGTTTTTCACGTACCATTTCCCACAACCGTATCCGGATGGCATGCGCGCATGCCACGTCATTTTGAAACGCCCGTTCGTGCCACAGCCAACGATGGGCCGCTTACTGGGGACCAGCCGGGTGGTAGACGCCAAGGAGGACATGACAATGTACAATGTTGTCTGTGCTATTGAGCGTGTCCGAACCATAACCACGACGCGCGTAGAAGTATACGACGTGGGTGGTGGGATGTAATGCTGCGTGCGTCAGAGCTGGGCACAGCTACGGGAGCTTACTTTGGCTTCGACTAAGAGCAAGGATCATCGATCGTCTGTAGACTGTCTCGTGCTGGGCTCGTTCTGGAGGTCGCTCTGTAAAAGCCAGTGCGCTGTAGAGCGACGGCATTTCCGACCTGATCGCACCGGCAAGACGTGTGGCGTCTCTGTGCGTCGCGACGCTGCGACAACACCAAGGTTACCTCTGCACTCGACTGCGCTTTCCACTCCTCGTTCGGAGGCCACACTTAGTTAGTTCATAGAAGTGTACTACGTAGTAGCAGGACAATAAGGACAACAAGACGACGACGTCGCCACGTTGGCACAATGATAAGAGCTCTGATTGGTGGAAATTCAGTTTCTTTTTCGACATTTGCACGAATCAGGGTCGGTCGAACAATCGTATGTAATTCGACTCTCTTGGTGTTTGTATGCATTGGCTGTCGGGCCTATTTATACGGTGCAGGATTTCAACCAATGGCATCACGCAACGTCCCGTCAGTCCCCGCTCACAACTTCCCGTGGTCCTTTTCTTCGTCCCGCTGCCATGGCCAGCCCGAGCCTTAGCCCCGACACGGTCCAGATCTCGATGGCCATTGCGCCGACGCCGGCTGGAGCTCCGCCGCCGATGACTCAGGAGAGCCAAGACGCGCTGCTAGCGGCGCTTGCCCGCACCACCCTACGCACCTCGGAGACGCCGCCGTTGCCGACGGCCGCGGCCGCGCCCGCGTCGCCGCACTCGCTGCGCCAGCTCGAAGAAGACATGGTGCGCTCGCTGCCGCAGTCGCCGCGCGCACGCCCGGCCTGGAAACCGTCGGTCGCCAGCGCCGCAGTCCACAACTCGCCGCGTGCATGCACGCCGTCGGCCACGCTGCCGTCGCCCGCCGCCGCCGAAGAAAACTGCTGCCTCATCTGCATGGACGACTTTACAGAGCGGAGGCGGCCGTACCCGCTGCCCTGCGTCGGCGCCTGCACGGGCGCATCCGTGCATTACCGCTGTATCATGGCCTGGCTTGGGCAATCGGGCAGCTGCCCGCTCTGTCGCGGCCCGTGCGATCCGCTCGCAATGGAGCCCACGCAAACACTCGACTTTACAGGTTCCTTACATCATCCACGCAACGACGAGGGCTCATGCAGCGCGTAGATCTGAAAGCGACCGTGCTGCGCCCGGTGCCGTTGGACGCTGGCATCGTCCGCTGCTACGTCAAGCAGGTCTACAAGGGCCTCTTCAAGCAGTACGGCTACGAGCTCTACCTGCAAGGTCGCATTGGTACGGACGAGCCGGACCGGTTCCTCCTCGCCGCCAAGAAGCAGCTGCGCAAGAACATGACCGCCAACTACGCGATCTACACCACGGCCGCGTGCGATGACGCATCGCGCGTCGGCCGCATGGGCTCGAACTTTCTCGGAACGGTCTTCACCCTCTACGACAATGGCCGGGACCCGCAAAAGGTTCATATACAATAGTGTCTATCGTGTCCTATGATTCCTGATCGACAACTAGGTGGCCAAGATCCAAGATGCGACCAACGGCCAAGACGCGCTTGGGCCTGGCGACAATGTGCTCCAGATCCGCGAAGAGCTCGGCTGCTGCACGTACGAAGCCAACCGCACAAGCGTCGGGCCGCGCAAGATGCGGGTTTGATTCCGTCTTCGGTCGCTTTGTGCTGAATTTGTGTTGCTTGGCTCTAGGTGTGCATACCGGATGTCGACGAAGCCGGTCGGTCGAGCAAGGTTGTCCGACCTACGAACCAAAAGGACCGCATCGTGAGCCGCATGGGCGTCGGCGAGCTCACGGTACATGGCGCTTGCTTTGCTCGTGCCAGGCTCACCTGTGTGTGCGTAGGACTTGATCAAATTCATCAACCGCGAGCCCGTGTTCCGGGAAGACCTTGGCGCGTACTGCCTCGACTTTGGCGGCCGCGTCTCGATGGCGTCGGTCAAGAACTTTCAACTGATATCCGCCGACGACCCGGCGATGGGCAACGTCCTCCAGTTTGGCCGCGTCGCCGATGACATGTTCACGATGGACTTTCAGTGGCCGCTCTCGCCGTTCCAGGCATTTGCGATCTGCTTGAGCAGCTGCGACACCAAACTCGCGTGCGTCTAACGATCGACTAAACAACTACCCTCTGCGTTCAATTCTTCCATCTACGAGACGACTAGGGCTAGGGCTAGGGCTAGGGCTAGGGCTAGGGCTAGGTGGTGTACGACTGGGCAATCTCGCAATCGAGGTCGTAGTAAAAGCGCAGCGGCTTGTGCGTTTTGAGGTCCAAGTCCACGATCGCGACTTGGTACTGATACGCGGTGCCGTCCGGAAGCGTGACACTATTCTCCGTCAGATCCGAGCATGGCGCCAGTGCCAGCAACAGCGAGCAGTCCTTGTACGTCGTGGCCACCATGAACTCGTCGACAAGTTGTTGGTAGAGCTCTTGCCATTCCACCAGCGTCAGCGTCGTCCACGCTCGGCCATGCGTAGCCCTCTGAAGCGTCCGCACCACGGCCTCGGGCAGGCTGCTAGCGGCCACGAGCTCGCCAAGCGTCGTCGTCATTGGCGGCGTCTCGGCAGCGAGCTGCGCGTTGAGAGCTGTGAGCCGGTACAGACCTAGTGTATCGTGTAGCAAAGTCATGAGGATGACGAGGGTCTACCTTCAATGTCCAAGCGATCGAGTGCATGCATGCGAGCGAGGTCGTCGAGGACGGGCACGCGCCGCAAGACGGTTGAGAGCAGCTGCCGAAGGTCATGTCGATCGATCGGAAGGCGGTCGGGAAAGACGCGGAGGTTGTTTTGTGGCGTTGCGAGGAGCTCGTCGAGGGCTTGGTCCATGGTATCGCGCGCAAAGAGCGTGATGGGGCAGTACGTGCTCACGGCGTCGACCTTGCCTTGGGCGAGCTTGAGCTGCTGGTGCATGCAGAAGCGACACGCGAGACGCTTGCTGTCGTGGACGTCGTCGGAGGCGCCAAAGACTTTGCCGAATTTCGGTTTGATCTCGACACTGAAGGCGCCCGCTGCATCGAACGCGACGTTGGGCAGCAAAAGCACGGTGCGCATCTCGAGGTTGAGCTGCGACGCTTGGCGGTGCGCCGGCCGATCCGCTTCAGCGAGCGCATTATTCATCGCATGCAGAAAAGCCGGTGGCACGTCGATGGCCTGGGCGACTTGGGCGTACTCGACAGCGCTACCGAGCGGCTTATGCGTGGACGCAAAGGCCACGATATCGGAGGGTGCGGCGCCGCGGACGCCCGCCTTGCGGATGCGCAGCACATGCCCATGGAGTGGTGACGTCGACGGGCCAGTGTAGCGGAAGACGACGTTGGCGCCGCCTTCGGCCACGTACGCCCACTCGCCCGGCGCCAGGCGTGTTGACGCAACGTCCGCGGGCACATGGCGTGGGTGGCCAGCAAGCAGCATACGTGCTGCTTCGAGGAGGATCGGGCTGTCGTCAGAGAATGATGGCACAGTGGGAAATTCCCTGTTCGCGTAGATTGCCGTTTGTGCAGCTGCCTGAGAAAGGCGGCTGCACGGGTGGAATCCCTTAAAGCAGTACGTTGCAGCGCTGGTTTCTCAGACGCGCGGCGCATCGCAGGCCACTCTTCAAGCGGCGTCCGCTGCGCGCTGCGTGAACCGACGACGTGGGGCGACCACGCTGCGTCGACATGCCCACGTGGCGCCACCTGCTGGCGAGCATGGCAGCGAGACATGGCCAGTTTGTATCAGCTCGGGCCACGATGCCAAGTTCAACCGGAACTTGAGGCGTCGAGGTCGTCGACGTTGACGCTGCCTGTAGGTATTGCCATGTCCCACTTGTCGCGAGCGTGGTCGCATCCAAGCAGCAGCGATCGTGCGATTGTCGTTGGTGCAGGTACTACTTGTGCGAATTCGAGTCGACTCCCACGTTGCACCACATGGGTACCTCATTTGGAGGGATTTTCCCGGCTTCTGATTGGCGCCGGGCACATCCGGATATATCATCAACCGGATGGGCGTGGCAAGGTCGACCGGTTGGGTCAGTTCCATCTTGGCCATCGATCGTCGACTAGCGTCCGTCCGGCATGCCCAGCATGTTCCAGACGCCGGCGCTCCAGCGGTACCTGATGTGGAACGTCCCGATCACGCATGCGGCCATGCGCAAGCCGGCGCCACGTGGCGCGCCGACGACGCCGCTGGCACCGCAAGACCTCGTGACACTTGTGACGCTCAACATTACAGTGCTCTCGATCGTGCACGGCGCGCGCCTCGACGAGCACGACAGTGGCCCGACGAGCAGTAGCCACCTTGACAATAGCCAACCGCACCACCGTGGCGTCATGCCCGGTGTCCTCACGCCGCTCGTGGCCAGCAAGTCGACCATGTCTGCAGAGGCTGGGCGGCGACCGACGCTGCGCCAGCTCCGCGCCGCCTGTACGCCGTTGCCACCGGTCGCCGCCATCGAGACCACGGCTACCAAGAAGACGATGCCAACGATTGTACCTGTCCACGACGGTGGCGAGCAGGTTACGGTCGCGGTCGACGAAGCTCCTGCTGCCTCGATGACCGACGAGGACATGCAGCACAGCATGACGACGGACGAGCCGACGCCACTTGAAGAGTCAACGATGATCGAGCCTACGATGTTGACGGAGCCCGTGACGACCACTTGCTGCGAAGACCCAAAGACCCTCACCGCCGACGAGCCCACGCGAGCGACCACCCTCGACGCCAGCACCCCGACACCCGCTGCGCCGCTCGACAACGCAGTCGTTGTGTCGTCAATTGTTGCCGCCCCAGCCCTCTCCAGGGACAGCACGGACGAGCCGGACGACGAGGAGAAGATCGCAGCTGAGCCCATCATCTCGGCAGTAGCCACGCCAACCGACGATTCGAATCTTTCGAAAGAGCACCTTGTCGCAGACGAGCGCTCGATCGCGGGCTCGTCGACTGCGTCCGAAGACGGCGACGACGAGGCCGACCGTGTCTTGTCGATCAAGGTCAAGGCGCCTTCGGTGCCGGCCGCGCTGCCGTCGCCGATCGCCGAGTCGACCGAGAACGACGCGCCCGAGCCGCTCTTCTCGATGGACCTCATGTCTGACCTGGACGACTCGGACGGCTGGTCGGTCTATGCGTCGAGCGAGTGTGGCACCGAGTCCGAGTCGGTGACGGACACGGGTCGGTCCCGCCGCCGCAGCCGCATCCCGCGGCCCCGCGACGGTGTCGTCCAGCCCGAGCTCCAGCCGTGCCTGCGCCGCAACAACCGGTCGGCGACGAGCCTTGCCGCCTTGGAGCACAAGACGGCGCGTCTCGAATCGCCGGCGCGCGCCCGTGGCGACGTCACCAACCGTCTCTACAACCCGTCGTACCACCAAGAACGGGACTCGAAGCTCGAACAGCTCCGCGCCCAGCGCGAGCTCGAAGAGTGCACCTTCCGCCCATCGACCAACGGCAAGCCGCCGGCCCCCCGGCGACGGCGCCACCGCATGTCGATCTAAACCTCCCACACCACCACCATGTATCTCCGTCCTAGTCGCCGTCGCTAGCCTCCATGTACCCTCCGATAATACCATGCGCGTCTTGTAATAGCAAATGCCTACACCATGGCACTCGGCTGCAGCACCCACGTCGCAAGGTGGCAGACCGCAATCCCCTACCCCTTACCTTGGTGTCGGACAACGGCTACTTCGGTGGTGCAAAGAAGCGGTGGCACCCAAGAGCGACCTACACATCCCCGTGGCATCGCTGCCTCGTCTCTGAGTCAGTGGCTCTGGTCGTACGGTACGCTGTATTGCCAACCATGGACTTTGCACTCTTTTGCAGCTTACGTAACCCGCTCGTGTCTCTACAGCGTTGCGCCACTGACCGCGCGGACGACGGCTTCGACGTTGGTGCTCGGGAGCAGCTTGCCTTGGCCGCACGCTGCGTTGCCACCGCCCGAGCCAAGACCATGGACGATCTTCTTGAGCATCTACATCACGCAGGACGATGGCACCGCCATAGCGACAGACAGAATCGAAGGAGCGTACCTCGCCCGCATGCACATGGTTGTTGCCCATGCAAATGATGCTGTCGCCCAGGAGCACAATGTGCGCCGAGGTGACGTCCGCCTTGGCCACAAACTCGGCGCGGCGGCGCAGCGCTTGCATGTACATGGTGCGGAGGGCGCTGTTCGACGCGTCCTTGCAGTCGAGGTCGAGGCGGTGCAGGGCGACTGGCGTTGCCTCGTAGACGCCGGTAGCGATCGGCGCAATCGAGCTCGACACAACGTGGTCGGTCACGCTTCTCGAGAAGCTCTCGAGCGCCTTGAGCTGCGTGTCCAAACGCGTCAGCTTTTGCGACGCCATCGCCGGCGACGTGCTCAGCTGCATCGCGAGCTGTTCGAGCTGCGCTTCCTTTTCCTGGAGCCGCTTGACGCCTTCGATACCGGCCACCGCCTACACCAATTCTACACCTACCCCTATATCTGTGGGTGTACCTCGATGCGCCGCGTGCCAGCCGCCACCGAGGCTTCGCTGAGGACGACGAACGGGTAGAGCGACGCCGCCGAGGCCGCGTGGGTGCCGCCGCAAAACTCGCTCGAGACGTCGCCGATGCGCACGACGCGGACGCGGTCGCCGTACTTTTCGCCAAACGCGCAAATGGCACCAGTGGCCTACGTCACGTTGATTTGTTGAAGCAAAAAAGAGGACAATATTGTCGTCGTACCTGCGCCGCGTCCTTGTCCATCTCTTCGGTGCGAATACTCGCGTCCGAGAGCGCCACGTCATTGACGTATGCCTCGACAGCCTTGAGTTGGTCGTTGGTCATGCCGCCAAAATGAGCAAAATCAAACCGAAGTCGATCGCTACCAACATACGACCTACGCATTTCGAGTGCTGAGTTTTGAGATTTGAGATTTGAGGTTCAAGAGCATACCCGGCTTGAGCGACGTGTGGGCCGAGCACGTGGCGAAGACCGGCTTGGAGCACATGCGTCGCCGAGTGGTGCACGGCCGTGCGCTGGCGGTGGCGGGCGTCGACGACCGCATGGACCGCCGGTGACTTTTTTAAGAGCAGCTCGACGATCTCAACGTCCAAGTGCTCGGGAATGGCCACGTGGACGACGCTGCCGTGCTCGCCGACCTTGGTGGTGCCAATCACGGGCAGCTCAATGTCTTCGCCAAAGTGGTCCAAGCCAACAAAGCCAATGTCGCCGACTTGGCCACCGCCCTCGGCATAAAATGGCGATGGCGACAACTGGAGCAAAAGACCGTTGGACGCCGACCGCTCAAACTGCACGACCTTGGACCGCGGCACGCGGAGCTGGTCGTACCCGACAAACTCGGTCGTTGTCGCCGTCGACGATGCCCGCGGCGTCACGCCAAGCAGCGGCGCCGACGCGCTCAGCGGTCCGTCGGCCGCATTCGCCTGCGCCGTAGCCATTGCAATTTGGAAGCCGTCGACGTCGACGGTCGCGCCCAGCGCGAGCGCGATCGACTCGGTCATGTCGATCGTGAGGCCAAAGGTATCGTAGAGCTTGTACGCCTCGGGGCCCGTAATGTGCTTGGCTCTTGTCGCGTGCAAGAGCTTCTCGATCGCGCGGGTGCCGGTGCTTTGCATGGCAAAGAAGGCTTTTTCTTCATTTTCGACGATGCCCGTGAGCTGGAGCCGGGACGCCACGTCCATTTCCAAGAGGCTGGGCAGTTGAATCGTCGAGAGGAACGGCTGCGACGCCCCGGCGACGCGGATCGCACGCCGAAGGATGCGCCGGAGGACGTAGCCGCGCCCGACGTTGGAGGGGAACACGCCGTCGGCCAGCAGTGCATACGTGGTGCGAAGGTGGTCCGCCACGATGCGCACGCTCTGCACATTTCGGTCGGTGCCAAACGTGTTGGACGCAATCTCAGCTGCGATTGCCGGCGTGTACCTACCGTAGAGGCGTGAGCTGCCATGGTGAGGACACGAGAAGACGCACCGTGTGACGCCGAGCTGCGCATCGAGCGACGACGCGATCGTATGCAGTAGCGGCGTGAAGAGGTCGGTGTGGTAGTTGGAGATGACACCTTGCATGACGGACGCCATGCGCTCGAGCCCCATGCCCGTGTCGACGCACGGCCGGGGCAGCGCCGAGAGCGTCCCGTCCGCCGCTCGGTCGTGCTGCATAAAGACGAGGTTCCAAAGCTCCAGGTACCTACAGTACTACGCTGCAGCAATGCTTTCGAGAGGACACGAAGCTACCGATCGTCGGCCGACGTGAACGCGTCGCCTTGGTCGTAGAAGATCTCGGTGCACGGCCCGCACGGTCCTGTCTCGCCCATAGCCCAAAAGTTGTCTTCAGCACCGAGGCGGTGGATCTTGGCATCGGGCAGCTGCGCGATTTGGCGCCACCTAGTGTACGTCTATGAGTCTAGTTTTATGTATTGTCTGGCGCTACCATTGAACCGCTTCGTCGTCCGAGTCGAGGACCGTCACGTGCAGCTTCTCGACGGGCAGCGACAGCTCCTTCGTGAGGAACTGCCACGCGTGGAAGATGGCTTCTTCCTTGAAGTAGTCGCCAAACGAAAAGTTGCCGAGCATCTCAAAGCACGTGTGGTGGCGCGCCGTGAGCCCGACCTGGTCCAAGTCGTTGTGCTTGCCGCCCGCGCGCACGCACCGCTGCGCCGACGTTGCGCGCGCATACGGCCGCGTCTCGTTGCCCAGAAACACCTACAGGCAGGTGATGCAGCGGCGGCGATGGCGTAGACAGGCGGACCTGCTTGAACTGGACCATGCCAGCGTTCGTAAAGAGGAGCGACGGATCGGCGCTTGGCACGAGCGAGCTGCTGGGCACAAGCGCATGCTCGTGCTGCTGGAAGTAGCGCAAGAAGTTGCGGCGAATGGCCGCGGCCTTGTGCATCTGCGTCATCGTTGATGGCTGGCGCAATGGCAATCTCGCGTATCCGGACATCCGGAAAACACGGCCACCGACGCGCGTCAGGGACAATCAGCGGGCGACCTCGGAGCCCACAAATGCTGCACACCTGCTGCTATCGACGAGGCGCTGTTAGATCGACAGCGTGCAAAATGCACGGCTGCCAGCGCGGTTTCCTATGATAAGGGCGGCGATCATCGAGAAAAGGCCGACGAATCTTCACGAAGGTTGCCTCGTGGAGGTGGTAGCCAAGGTGTAAATGTCATATTGTACATGGTGCGCCGCAGACTGTCGGCTTCGATCAACTCGGTGCCGTAGCCGTCGATGAATTACTCAACTGAATCATGCGGCACGATGTAAACAGCAGGAGACGGTCCAGTCCCGAGACTCGAATCAACCAAGTCCATCGACCCGAAGCGGCCTATTCTGTTGCGATACGTCGTCTTCCATCGCTCGGCCATTTTAGCTCGATTTGGTCGCTCGGTCATACGTGCACCCACGCGGTCGGAGTAGTTTTTTCTTGCTGACAGCAGCTCTGGTCCAGTAGGTGTGTTGGTCACCGAGATACGCGACTACTACTAGTGGGTTTATGAGAGTTGCAAGGTCGTAACTACGCGATAGTCTAGCATCTTCACACATGCACTAGCGGTCGGTCACGCGCACTTGGTCGTCGGCGTGAGCCCAAACGACGTTGCAAGTAGCGCGAGAAGCACGTCTTTGTCGTCGATGGTTTGCGTTTCGACGACGACGCCGGCTTCGTATTTTGTAAATTGATTGGCGGTCAGCGTCAGCAGCGTCGTGCCGGAGCGGCGGACCACGAGCGGCTGCTGCGCCAAGAACGAGAGCGGGCTCGCCGAGCAGTACCAGTTGGCCATGGCATAGTCCGCCTGCGTCGTGGCGATCGACGTCGAGAAGACGTAGCTCGGAAACATGGGCTTGTCCTTTCCTGTGCGATAGTAGACAGCCATGTGGTCGCCGGCCACCGGCGCCTTGGCCAGCACAAAGCTGCCGCTGAACTCGGACGCCGTCCACTGGTGCGTCAGCGCGACCGCAGCGAGCTCGTAGCGCTCACCGTGGGCCACGTCGACGCGCGATTCCATGCCTGGCAGCAGACGCATCGGGCACGGTGGCTGCCCGCGCCCGCCAAACCCGACATCGCAGAGGTACTTGGCCACGTCGCCGTTACCATCGGTTGCGTCAACGACCAGAATCGCATGGCTGAGGCCCGAGAGGTCGTAGGCGGGTTTTTCGGGGTCGTTGTTGGCCATGACGACGCGTGCGCTGTGCGTGGCGACGGCGTAGCCCAGGCCTCGGAGCACGGCCGCGAGCAGTCCGTTCTGCTCAAAGCAGTAGCCGCCGCGCTTGTCGTACACGAGCTTTTGCACAATATCGACGAGTCGCAGCGAGACGACTTCGCCGTTGGTCGCGTGCACAACAGGAAAGACGCCGCAGCCCGCCAGGTTCTCGAACGGGATCGCGCGGCTGTGGTGGGCGACGATCGTCGCCAGCTGCGTGAGCGAGACGCCGGCGGTCAGCGCGTCGCGCTGGAGGCCGATGCGCGCAAGGTACGCATCGATGTCGATGGACGGCGCCGACGTGGTCATCTCGGTACACGACGATGAATGGAAAAGTGCGACGTCGGCGGAACCGTGGCGGCTTCGACCAGCGCGGTCGCGATTCGTTGAAACGACAGATGTTGCACCGAGAGAGTGAGTGAGTGCGAATGAGAGTGAAAACAAAGAGCGCATGCGTCGCTGCTCAGAACAAAATCTTGTGCACAAGTCTTGCCACGCGTCGCTGCGTTGAAGCTGGGCTGCCGACGCTGCTTGCAGCCATGGCTTCAATGACGTACGAGTGCTATACAAGTAGGCTAGTCGAGTGTAGTTGCTGGGTAGCGGGCGGCCAACTGGCTGCAGTGATTGTGCAGGAAGGTACTCAAATCTTGGCCCATCGGACACGGCTTGTGCGTCGACAACACGAACGTACCGCACGGTATCCTTTGTGTCTCTTCTGCCCGTAAACCTTTTGCACAGACTAGCTTTCTAAAACTACTAGTATAAATTAGTGAAAGACTATAGGTTAGCTTGCCACTCCGAAACGATCGTAGAGCGCCACTTGCCATGAGACCATGTCCAGAGCGGCGGTGGCGCGCGGTAGACACACCCAAAGGGCAATTGGTGCTGGTTCAAAGCGTACAACGACGGCGCTGCGGGCGGCGGTGCCGTGTGGTCGTCGCGAGGCCATATGCACTCGGCGTCCAAGTCCGCTGCCAGTGCCGCCCGCAGCCTCTGAATCGCATTGAGTCGCAGGTGTTGCACGGCGAGAAACGCCAGCCACCGACGTAGATGACTTTGGATCTGGCGGGCGGCGCGGTGTCGACGGTACCGTCGCCTGGCCACGAGGTGGCGCAGGGCCACCGCGAGACAGGCGGCTGGCGTCGCGGGGCTTTGCTGGATACTGGCACTCACGTGCTGCTTCCATACTACCGGTCGGGCGTTTGAGGTGACGGCGGTTGTGCGTACGTGCTTGGTTGCGACTTGGTGGCTTGGTGCTGCGCGAGGGAGGTGTAGGGTTACTTTTGGTGGAGTCGGCGCCACCGTCGCCTGGCTCAAGACGACGGTAACCTGCGAAAAGGTTGGACCGGCTGCGTTGACCACAGGCGCGGGGCTTGCCGACGTCAGACGACTCAAGCAGAGTTGCGGCACGTAAGCGTGCATCGGCTGTGCCGTGCTGGCACTGACCAGCAATAGGTTGCTGCTCGGTGCTGCAAACGCCATTGACGTTGGGGAAGGCAAGTCTTCTTCTACATTCCCCGCGTCATCTCGTTGGTTCTCTGGTCCCGCAAGTCGCGGGGTGGCGCCGGTGCCATTGCACAGGTTGACATCGTTGCTGCTGGACATGTCTTCGATCGGTGCGGCATTGTTGCCGGGTATGCCGACCGTCGCCCGTGGTGTTGACCTCTTTGCAGCGACTTTGACGGGTGGTGGGTCTGTCACCGTGAGAATCGCCCCATGGCATCTCTCGCTAAGAATGTGGCTCGAGTCCACTGGCACGGCAGGTTGACGGTGGCAGCGAACGCGGCGCTGCAGAGCCACGACGCCTCGACGCAGGCTTTGAAAGCGCGCGCTCGCCACGTGTCGCCGGAAGAGTGCCTGGAACGGTACCCACGCGCGCTGCCATCGGTGGCTGCGTGCGGCGAGAGCTTGACGTTGCTGGGACCGACGGACCATGGCTTGCAGCACCATGGCTGCCGACTTGCGGCGGTGAGTACAGTAGCGTCGCCAAGTCCGCGCCAGCGTGTTTACAGCGCAGACCTACGCGCATCATGTGAGGTGTACACACTCGGCAATCTGACCTGCTGGTGCTTAATCCATCGTCGATGCAGTACATGTCGCCTCACCGCCGCGAGCAGCTACACGTTGCGCGTGACGCCAACCATTCTTTGATTAAGGGAGAAGGTTCGGACCTTGGCTCGCATCTGACAACGCAGGAGCGCCACGCGTCGTCCTTGGTGGCCGCGATAGAGCCGTTGGAGACTCGTGGCGCCGTTCTCGTGCCGACATTGTCGGTGACGCCTGTAAACGCGTTGCAGTCGGCGGGCGGCGAGACGCCGGCGCAGGTAGCTATGCACGCCATCGCAAAGATACCGTGCGACGCTGCGTCGTGCGACCATGCCCACGAGCCGCCGAAGCCGCGCAAGGGTCGTTGTCGCTGGCAGACTTGTCATCGTCGTCGGCGGCAACCTTAGCCGTCGGGGCGCATCGGGAATCTGGTTCGTCGACAGCGGCGGTCGCTGCTTGGCCGCCATGGCGTGGCGCAACGCGACGACATGTTGCAGATGCGGCGACTGGAACGCCGCCTTTGTGGCGCGCCGGCCACCCACCACCTGCGCCGCCCACATGCCAGTTACACGCAGTGACACGCAAGTTTCGCGCCAGTGAAACCGACACGGCCGGGGATGCAGCGCCACGACCTCGCTTCCTCGTCGCCGCCCGTTGATGCTCCCCACCACAATCGTCCCATCATTCCCTATAGTACCGAGTACATATATCTCGCAAACAAAGAGGAAGACGGACACATTGTATTTTCCGGATACCAACAGGATCCGTGGCCAAACCAGTGCTTGCAACCTTGCGAAACCCACCGCGCGAGGCGAATACAAACCGCAAGGTATTTACGAGCGAGGGGTTTCGCTAGTCGTTTTGCCTTTCAAACCGCCCTCCATATCTCTTGCCACCAGTACTCGATATCCGCTCTACCCCCATCGTCATGTCGGCCAAGAAGATGCAAATGGGACGGCAAGCGCCCGGTGGCGTCCTCGTCTCGCCCATCTCGGTCGCCCACCGCGTACTTGGATCCCTAGCGTCTCGAGACTCGTGTGACTGACACCTTGGACTAGAACCGGTGTCTCGACAGCGACAGTGTCAACCCCGTTCGGGCGCAATGGATGGCCAACCTCAAGAAGCGCGCGGACGCGGCGTCGTCGCCGCGCGTCGACGACAAGGCCGAGCCCATGGTAATTGCGTCGGCTCGCTCCGAGTGCAAATGTAATGCGATCGATAGAAGGCGTATGGGCACATTGAGTACACTGGCCGGTCCAGCGTGCGCGTCGAGCCCAAGACGTCGGCGCACGTGGACATTTTGCCGAAAAAACTCATCAAACCGCTCTTGAAGAAGCGCCCCAACTGCCCGACAATGCTCGAGCTGCAAGCCGGCAAGCCGCGGACGCCACGGCGCAAGATGAACGGCGGCGGCTTTGAGAGCGACATGCAGATCCAGACGGGCTTTGGTCCGCTCGATGGCTGCTTCCCCGGCGTCGGCACGCCGACCGCGCACCACCGACGCGGCCCCGCGTCGCCCGACATCATGGACCCGTTCTCGGGCATCGACTTTGGCCCGTTCGACACGTTTTTGGATCTCCCAACGCCCAAGAACAATGGACTGCAGCATGGCGCGCCGCCGTTTCCAGTGATGGAGGCGACGGAGCTTGCGAATGCCTTCCAGCAGCCGCCGCTCTTGGTGCGGGCGACGAGCGTCGAGCAAGAGGGATTGAGCCTCTGCTTTGAACACACGCACTTGGGCCAGCCGACGCAACTCAGCAGCAACGTGCCGCCGTCGCCGTTCGGGTCGATGCTTCGGCCGTCGTGCGTTTTTGACTCTACCAAGCACCACCCCGAGTTTGACATTCTCGACTTCAACGACTCGGACATTGACAAGGAAGTCGACAGCTTCTACTTTGACGACGACCACGACGACAGCCGCGTCGACCACGACGAGATTGAGCTCATCTCGACGTAAACCTTACACCGCAGTACCGTAGTTTCGTAGGACACCGCATTTTTCCTCCATGTTGCTAAAGAAAACACTTTGTCTCGTCTCACGACTGCATTAAGGTGACCTCGATCTGTGGCGACAGAGTGCAGGAGGAGCGCGGTGGCTACGGACCGAGCCCACAAAGCACGGCCTCCGAAAGCGAGTTTTGCAGTCGCGACCGAGACACGACACCGTTTCAATGTATCAAGTGCGGGTCAAAGCACGGTTGCTGCCGGCTGCCACAAGGTCGAATCGACTCTATCATGCATGTTTGTGCATAGTATAAACGTTCTCGTCGTTCTAGTATCTACTTGGTCTCGGCTTCAGCGACCACGCGCGCACAGATGTCCCGCCACATCTTTGCATGCGACATGTCGTAGTGCAGCGCGTAGCTCAAACCGCGCAGAAGGAGCGAGACGCGGTACGCCATGACAAAGTCGTCCGACTGCTCGACGAGCGGGTCGCGCTTGCTCATTTGCTCGGCAAAGAGCTGGATGTTGACACCGCCGGTGACACTCGCGTCGTCACGGTCCATCATGATGCGGCCCATCTTCTCGAGCACATACGGGTCCATGTGCTTGGTTTTGACCTGGATGTGATGCGTCATCGCATACACAACGTCCTCGCTACTGCCATCCGCAAGCGCAAGCACGAGCTTGGCGAGGCGGACGCGCTGGTCCTTTGTAATGTGCTTGACCTGGCCATAGTCGATGAGGCCCATGCGGCCGTCCTTGAGCAGCATGATGTTGCCCGGGTGCGGGTCGCCGTTGAAGCAGCCGTTGACAAAGATCTCGTAGCCGTGAACCTCGACGATGAGGCGGAGGATCTCGGCAAAGTTGAGCAACTTGGTGTGGTCGACATTGTCGTCGGCCGCCGGTGCACGCGCCCAGATCCACCCGAGCGTGTAGTCGTAGAGGCCATGCTGGAGCTTCGTGCCGAGCTCGCGCAGGTACAAGTACGACTGGATCTGGCGCATCTCATCTTCGGACGGCCCGCTCTCGCGCGCCAAGCCCTTGGCCAGCCGCTCGGCGTCGACGCGCTCCTGCTCGGCCTTGAGCGCGTCGATGGTCGTGTTCTTCTCCTTGGCAATGAGCTCGAAATGGTCTTGGATGCCATCGAGGAGGCTCTTGCCGTCGAGGAACTCCATCACGAGCACGTCTTTCGTGCACAGCTCTGGGTACGGCGCGGGCACGACGAACCGGGTCGCGTACGGACTCGCTTGAATGTTGGCGCGGACCTCGGCGAGGTTGGCGGCTTCGCGGCGGTAGTCAAACTCGGTCATAAACTGCTTCTCGACTTCGTTCAGAAATGGAAGCTGCTCGGGCTGCGCGAGCTTGCAAAAGGTCTTGATCGTGCCAATGTCGTTGCGGAAGTGGTGCTCGGCTTCCGGGAACTGCACCTTGACAACCACGGTTCTATGGGTAGGAAGAAGGTAACGACAGTCCTATGGCGAAGAAGGACGTACGTGCCGTCGAGCAGCTTGGCCTTGTGCACTTGGCCAATGGACGCGGCGCCGAGCGGCTTGGTGTCGATCGAGAGAAAGATCTCGGAGATGGGCTTGCCGAACGACCGCTCGATGATGCCAACGATCTCGTCCATGGGCTTGGACGGCGCGTCGCTCTGGAGGATCTTGCACCGGTCGAGGTACTGCTTGGGCAAGAAGTCGTGGCGCGTCGACCCAATCTGGGCGAGCTTGACGTAGAAGCCCTTGAGATGTAGCACGACGTCGTACAGCGTCGGCGCATACAAGTCGTGGAGCTCCTCGTAATGCGCGTCTTGCTCGTCCTGCGAGAGCTGGAGCACGTCGTTGATGTACACCTGCTTGGACCGGTAGTGGATGTACGCGGGCATGGCCTTGGTGTAGAAGTAGAGCGACCGCGCAAAGCCCTCGTCGACCTGCGACCCGTAGTAGACGCCGCCGCCAATGGCCGCCGTTAGCCCGGCCAGGGTCATCGCCGCCTTGGCCGCATGGGACGAGCGGCGTGGCGCAGCGGTGCTCATGGCGGCGCGGCCAGCGGCTCGCCGCGTCAGCGCTCGGAGGCTCAGCATCCTGCGCGTCGGTCTCAATTGGTTGTCCGGTATTCGAGAGCGTTCATTTGGCCTCGGCTTGAAGACCGCCTGTCGCGTCCCAACCGTCCTAATTAGGAAATAACTTGGGATTTGTATGCTGACAGGAGGACGCCGTTTCTTGGTTTCGGATTCCCACGCGTGTGCAATGCAATATACACATTTTTCACATTGACATCCTGATACCTTTAAAAGGCCCAAGGAAACGTGAAAAATACAAGGAAGCGTGGTTTCGGATTTTCGCGTGGGTAATGCTTCCACTGGAAGCAATCGCGGATTGCATTTGCTGGCGGCGAGAAGAGAATGGACGGTCTCGCCGAGCTCATGGGCGGCTACACGGAAGATGACGAGCGCGAGATCATCCAGGACATTGCCATCGGCAAGGACAAGGCGATCGTCATGCAGATCTCGCTGGCGCTCGACGATGGCCAAGCGCCCGGGTCGCTCTTCGCCTACCACGTCTGGAACGGCGCCGTACGTTCCTCAGCCTGCATGTTGTTGCAGGCTCATACCACTCTTGTAGACGTGCCTCTCCGAGTTCTTTGCGGCGACGCCGGCTCTCGTCCAGCGCAAGGCGGTGGTCGAGTTTGGCGCTGCCTCGTACTTCATCGCCGCCGCCGCATGACCCTGACGTACATGCAATAGGGCGCTGCCGTCGCTTGTGGCACTGCATCTGGGCGCGTCGACCGCCGTCATGACAGGTACATGATCGCTTGGCGTACAAAGCGCACAACGACGATGACGGCGGTAGACTACCCGGCGCCCGTCTTGATTGACAACATGCAGCGCAACGTCGCCCGGAACGCGAGCAAGCTCGGCAATGGCAGCGCGACGGTCCTCGGGCATCTGTGGGGCGACGACGTCGCGCCGTTGCTAGCGCCAACGCAAGGCGACGGCTTTGACGTGGCCATCGTCGCCGAGTGTCTCTGGCTGCACAAGGAGGTACGTCTTGGTTGACGATTTGGTACGAAGCGTCAAATGCTGCGTAGCACGAGCACCTCTTGATGTCGATCATGGCGTGCCTGAAGCATGGCGGGAAGGCGTACATTTGCTTCAGCCACCACGTGCCCGGCATGGAGACCGAGGACTTGTCCTTCTTTGCCAAGGCGACGCGCCAGTACCAGTGCGACGTTGCGCATCTCTCGACCTTCCAAGTCCACGCCGTCTTCAACTCGGCCAAGACAAAAGACCAGTACCTCTACTGCATCACGAAGCTCTAGTGGTCCGAGGTCCACCTTCCTGAGAGCAAAACGTACATGCGAACCTAGCATGTCAATCTTCCCTGTGGCGCTGCCACGTCATCCACGCGTCGTCGATGGATTCGATGACAACCAAAAAACAACTTTTACAACTCTTATCTAACACCGTCGTGGAGCAGGTTCAAGGCAACGTTGTGTCGGGGTGCACGGCAGGTGACCATGAGCGTGGCTGCAGGGTCCAGACACGTCGACTAGGCAGTGTCGAGCAGTAGACCTCCGCCGGCGTCGATAGGTAGCATGCGGTAAGTGAGCGAACTTGCGACGGCGTTGGCACCGCCGCGGGGACCGCGAGCGCGTTGGGGCTAAAGCCCAGATGTTCGGACGAGTGCTCCTCGGGTGCTGCCACTAACGACGAGCTGAAGGACGTTGCGGAGACCAAACGCGGGTGGAGCGACACCGGTGCTTGTGATTACGCGACTTTGCACAACATTTTAAAGGGATAAAGGGAATTAATGGAGTTTATGGGTCGCATGCGATCGTTTATGAATACTGGCAACCAACTCGTACAACATATCGTCTTAGGCGACGGTCGTCGCGAAGAGATGTCCCATTGTCGGGGTGGCCCACGAGAGTGCGTACAGAGCGTCACCGTACACAGCGGGGCTGTTGAACGGTCGGCCCAGCAACGTCCAGGTCGACAAACCGGACGCCAGCGTCGAGCAGTAGAGACTGGCCTGATTGCTCACATAGCACACCCGGTTGCCGTCGGAGCTAATGCGATAGACTTTGGAGGCTGATGGCACCGGCGTGAGTGGTGCGAGTGACCACGTCGTCGTGTTGAGCGTTGTCACGTAGAGTTCCAGCGACGCGCCCATGACAAAGACTGTGTTGCCAGCGACAACGAGCCGGTAGATCTTGCCCAGCACGGCAGCATCGAGAGACAATGTTTCAGGACGCCGACGCCTTGGCTGGTGATGGGAGCACTTTATTTCTTGCCTGCCTGAAGCGCCACCGACTGCGTCACCTTGGTGACCAAGTTGCGCGCAAAGACGACGGGATCTTTTGGACTGGTGCCGTAGACAACGCCGTTCACACACGGTCGGCTCGCGTCGACTGCAAAGTCGTCGATGTTGACAGATGCCCACGTCTCAATGGCGCGCGACGGCAGCCCATACATGACGGAGGTGCTGGTGCTGGTAGCCACGAGCGCACATGCGTTGACACCGTCAAAGAACAAGTCTGTGAACAACTTGCCACCGAGATCGACCCATGGCGCGGGTGTTCGTGGCACCACCGTCGTCGGCACGGGGCTAGTCGGTGTCGGTGTCGCGGACGTCGCAGCCGGTGTCGTCGTCGGCGTTGGGTCGACCACTGGCGTGGCCGACGGAGCGATGCTAGTCGGTGTCGGTGTCGCGGACGTCGCAGCCGG